ATATTAGAAATACCTGAACTTGAGGCGGGCTTCTCGCCGCCGCACATATATTGGGTCTGAGCTTGCATCTTTGGAATCATGTATCGGCTGATTCGAGATCATGGGAAATCTCATCCATGAACGCACGTACATATCCCCTCAACCGGAACCCCGAATCCGTGATTCAGGAAGGGATTTTATGGTCGTGGCTTACTTCCAAAGCTTCTTTATGTTTATATGGTGCGACTCTGAACCAGGTACGAACCAATGCATTTGTACTGTTGCTTGCATCTCAATGCGTGTCCGATCACGGAACTGTTGAAGAAGTATCCGCTCAGAACGCTTCCCCGCCACCTGCCTTCGTTTCTTTGCCCTACGCGTAATTTGCCTTCCTGCTTTATCAGCTTAACGCCTCCAAGAACCACCTTCTCATAAATATAAGGTATCGTACCGCAGATTTTTAAAGAGCGGATTCATTCAACTAAAATTTTAGAGCATAACGAGCCCTCCCATATTATGATGATTGGGACGAAGGTATTGTCTACGATGGTCCGATGAGACAAGTATGATTACGGTCCCTGAAACGGTCACCTCAATGCGACCAGTAACCGCAAAGATGAGCCATCAACCAGGCTGGGAGTTGATCCCAGACCTCCGCGTTCCTTCCATCACAGACACGTCGTTTAGTTGCCCGGAGGCTGAGTCCAAGCGAGCATACATTAGGAAAACGAACCATAGTTTCGGGTGTAACACTTGGACGACCCAGCCAACATCTTTAGAAGAGAGGCTGGTCACCTGCCTACAACATCTTTCATCTAGCATCGACTCAAGAGCTTGTTGGAGTTGTAGGGCATGTCAATTATGCTGCAAGAACGAACACTCAGCCGCCATTGGGGGCCCAGCGTCTGAACGCCCCTCGACGAAGCAGATTGTTAAGGATGGGCAGATGGTCGGTAGAAGTCGCTCGCTCCAAGCATTCACCAGAGGCCTCTCGTTAGAATCCACGTCGCCCAACCTAACCCCAGCGTTCTGGACAAAGACCGCTTCCTGCCTTCATCATCTGAGCCTTCGTAGCCAGATCAGATGCCTTCATCCAATCAGCGGCCTACCATGTCTTGAATGTGTGATTTGTGTGAAAGTTTTCTCTGTCTGCGCGAAATTTGCGTGATTGGTGATTGAATAGCGGGTGTATATGCCATGGATACGGGGATATTTTCTAGTTGGCGTCCATACTTGTGCGACGCAGGGACGTCGTAGACGGGCAAATTGCTCGACGGCAAACATTTTACCTTAATGCTCACTGTTTAGGATTGGCTTCGACAATCACTACGTGTCCAATTTTTGACTGGCAGGTGAGGATAGTTGGAGGAAGCTGCACTAGGACGGTAAGGAGCAGACAAGACATTCACATGCTACCAGGACCCGCATCCGGAGGAACAAAACGCCGGCTTATAGCATCGAAGAAGCAAGTGGAAAAAGCCTTTAGTATGGAGCGCTTATTGGATCAATGCGGCCCCGTATAGCACCACACGATGGGAGCAATAAAATGAAGGGAGAGAACCATCTAAATCCTGTCCTTCTGAGACAACGTCTTGCGTGAGACTCCTCCAAAGTCAGTAGGCGGGCGACCGGGTCCTGTCACATAAATACTGCTTACATCTAGATGAGCAAGCCGTGTGATCGGAGTATGGACATCACCAACGCAGGACCTCTATTGACAGCAAGGATCGGCCTCCACGGAAGCGATTACGAGGAGAATCCATAAAACGGGCTTGCATAAACGGCGAGAACGCCCCTACGTACTGGGATAGAATCAAGATAGAATGCCCGATGGCAGATGTTGGAAGTGGCTGTCACGAATCGTGCTGACATCCATACATAGAGCATTTCGAATGGCGGATACAGCTTGAACAGCACCAAGTAGTTGCAGTTTCAGCACCACCAGTAGTACCCGAGGACCTCTTAACAGCCACACACCAACAATAGCAATTGCAATTTTATCATTGGCCATGACCAACTACCGGCATGGTCCTTATCTATAGGCTTAGATATTCTCAAGGACACGTGTATCTTTAATTTGTCATGTTACGTATTTAATTCCGGGAACAATAGAATAGTCATCTTCGACACTTTTTACGTTTCAGGCTGCGAAAGGAGGGGAGCACAGCCCTTGCATACAAGAGCGGACTTCAGTAGGGTTGTCAGCAACGGGTGCCACCCCCTCCACCTCCTTCTGCTTGGCCAGTGTGCTTGTTTACTGCAGCAAACACAAAAACCCGTTGACGACAACGGACGACCTGCCTTTATTGAGGAGGACCAACACAGGACACGAACATTCAACAAGGACGTTGAACGCCATCGTCGCTGAACCCCGCTAAAAGGACTGCTTTGAACGATTTCCACTGCCGATTCCCCTTTGAATTGAGCCTCACACGGACGTGTCGCGCTGATTGTCGTGGAAAACCGAATCTGTTTTCGACCTGCCTCTGTTACTCGTTATCTCTGACCAATTCCCTTCGCTTGCTGTCTAGGATTTGAAATACCCCTTCTGCAGTTATGTCTCGTAAGTCTTGCATTATCTCTTTATAGCCTTTCCGGTCTTTCGTGCCACCTTTTCGTACACTTGCGACGCAAAAACAGGCTACCCGTATTCGACGTCAAGTATCGTCGTTCATTCAAAAGCTTTTCATGACCAAAACGCCTTCTCATCGCAAGGAGTACAATTCACCTACTAACGATTTCTCTTTGCTTTTCCCTAATTTTCTGCCATGATGAATGAACGTGATTTCTTCCAAATCGAATTAAATTCTCCTCAACGGATCCCCCAACGAACGTTACTTCACTGACGATTATGAATGCCACGACGACGGAAACCACCACCACCACCACCATTCCAACAAATACAACTCCAACTACTAAACCAGTGAACAGCACTTCCACTAGTGATTCTTCCCCCACAATCACATCTACCACTTCGATTACGAGTAGTTCGACGAGTCCATCCTCCACATCGAGCACACCCTCCACATCCTCCACGCCTTCTACTACCTTCTCCAGTTCCACCACTACTTCTACAGCCAGTTCTTTAAGCAGGACCTCAGTCGGGTCTTCAACTTCCCAATCATCTGGATCCACAACTTCTACAAGAACTACCGGTTCAACATTCCCTCTGGTGACCACCTCTACCGTGACGACTTTTTCTGTTGCGACCATCATTGTGACCGATGGTAGGACAGTGACGACTAATGTACCTGCTTCTACTACTGGTGCTGGTGCGATTAGCAATGGAGGTGGCAGCAAAACGAATGTGGGTGCTATCGCTGGTGGTGTGGTAGGTGGATTAGCGGCCATCTTTTTGCTCGCGGCGCTGTTAGTTTGGTGGTTACGTCGTCGAAGGGTGCGTCCCTGATTCATTTCTTCATCTTCCTTGCACTCCTATTTGGTTACCTAACGTGAAAACTGACGAATGGAGCTTTTTTTTTTTGACATCTTGCGTGATCACCCACACAGAGATGGGATGAATTCGACGGGAACTTTGACCCCGATGCGCACATACCAAAGCCAACCTCCCTCGGACGAACGAATCTGGATTTAGGCGGGGAACTAGATCCCAACACAGATGCGGAATCTCGGCCATGGCAGTATCCCTCCGCTGGTGCGGGTACTACTACACCTGGAACACCCTCCACGGCTGGTGTAGCTGGCTTAGGAGCACTGTATCATGGTGCTGGTGGTGGGGATGTTTCCGGTAGAGGTGAGAATGGAAGTGTGAGTCCGCTTCCTGAGATGAGCCAGTATGCCCCTACTGTTACATCTGGATCGCATTATCCTCCTACTAGTAACATGGGTGGTGCGACTGGTGCCGCAGGGCGATCTGAGGCGAGTGAAAGTGCGTATGGGGCTTATAGTCCCCGAGCGAATAAAGCCCTAGAAGCGGCCTCTTCGAGGCAGGGTGCGGGCACGGGGACGGATGGGAGTGGTGGTGGGGTGGGAGGCACTGGGGGGCAATTGGGAGTGGTGAATAGGGGAGAGACTGATGGGACTGATGAGGATGGAGGGCAGGGGAGGGTTGTTGTTGCTAAGGATGCAGGGAGGGTTAGAGAAGTTGAGATTCCCCCTACTTACGAGAGCATTGTTGAGGAAGTGGGTGCTGGAGCGGGGGCGAGGTCATAGGCTCGTGAACTGTGGCCATTGGGATGAAATTTTCGCTGATTTCTTGCTTTCTTTCTTTCTTTCTTTCTTTCTTTTATTCCAAGTAATGAATTTTTTTCGTATGCACCTCCTTTCCTTGTTTTTCACGTTACCGTATCCAACTCACTTCTCAGAAGTTATCTATGACTGGGCTGCTGCTCGGTTCCGCCTTTGCTCGTTTTTTTTTTTCATTGTTATTTGTGTACGATATTTTTTCAATCGTGCAACGGAATCCATCTATCCTCCGATGACAGATGCCACATGTGTAACCCCGATGCAATATACTCAACGGGGACACTCAAACGGGGAAGATCTCTATACTATAACATTGTAACTGCGCAATGGTATGAGTAGCTGTTTTAAAGATAGTAAAGCCATGACACGTAAGTTCTCAGATTCACAAGAGTCCTGAGTTGGATTGTACCTATGAACAGACTAAATATGGAGGCAACTCGATTATCCAAGCTCCCGAATGACCACCCAATTATCAACCGCCTATACCCCGAACAGAGGAGACGAACCGCCTCCCATCCCAGTCTTCAACCCACGGAATCGCTACCGAACAGATCCGTGCGGGAAGTTCACGACACGCATCATGCGCATTGCCTCTCGCATATATGCTACAAGGCACAGAGAGGATCCTCGAAGCCCCATGGCAGATTTCAGAACACGACATCGAAGATCGAATCCAAATATACCTGCCCGAGGACAAAGCAGGCGAATCCCCAAAGGCAGCTTGGACGGACGACCACATCGAATTCACCACGGCATGCGAGGCCCTATTTTAAAGTATACAATGAACTAGAAATTCATCCAGCCTTCCTATTGCTCTATCCTGTACTCTGGATCTGCTGGAGATGCTTCTTTACAATTTGGACAAAGTCTGCAATACCGCGGTATGCCAACTGGTCAAAATATACCAGGCGAAGAATCCCTTGATCTTCATCCCTGGAGGGTCCAGAGGATCTGCGCAATTGTGAAAGTTTCATCCACCAATCATCAAGAACAGGGATCATTCCAAGGATGATTGGAGCATAAGTTTGAGAAGGTTTCTCAGTGCGCTGAGCGAGGAGGTCAGCCACCTTGGCATCACGTTCCTTACTTCGTAGGCCATCACGCCAAACATCTTCACGTTTGGTATGGCCTTTCTTGATATTCCACAAAGTCGCCCACACTGCAACATAGAAGAACGAATACATGTCGTCCAATGGGGTATGGAGGTATCGATCTTCCGCGTCCATGGCACCACGAATACCAGGAGACATAAACTCATAGGTTCCCTGCAGAATGGTTCAGTGTATGTACGGTTGGCTTCAACATGTGAGACTGACTGAGATCGATTCTGCAGTGTCTCTTCTGGCCAAGTAGGCGGGGATGTACGATGCGAGATCACCATCTGAAATAATGGCCCGGCACTCGGCAGGCAGCCCTAGTTCTGTAATTTCCATCTGTAGAGCCTCGGCAGTGGACATTGCTTTCCCAACCTCATCCTTTACCTCTCGAGCTGCTCTTGGTTTGCTTAAACGTTCTTCCAATGCCTCGACTTTGCCACGCACTACCTTGCTAAATTCGTCCACATTCTCATTGCTGTGCATGATGGCGTAGTGAAACTCTTTCAACTTGTCGATGCTGAACGGTACCATTTGGGCAGGTCGCATTAGCTTGAGAACATTCCCGATGCTGACGTCTCGTTGCAGGTACCCGCATTGATAGGTTGAAAGCCACCCTACGAAGATCAACTAAGTTTTGGAGAGGAGAAGCGAACCGCAATACGAACCGAGCATGGCATGTAGAAGACAAATGCACAAATCCCAAGCGGTATCACAGTACTCGAGGCTGCAGCCTTGATCCCGAAGAAGCGTCACCGCTAAACTACGATAGTCAGGGCTCTCTGGACAAAGTGGGCTGATATCTTTTAGATGAAAGTCGCTGGCATTCGAATTGGGACCTGGAAGCAGGTACGAATTTGTCGATTTATAACCTCTGGAATTGAACGGCTCGTGAGACGAGAGGAGAGTCATCGTTCCGAATTCGCCCTTTGAAGCTCGGTACATGTTACACTCCAAGTCTTTCTTTGCGTGAGGGGGCCAAGAGCACTTCACGACGGAAGAAGGATTTGACACCTTTTCGTACATCCTTTCCTTCCTGGTTGCCTGGTGGTCACGGAATTGAATATCGAACCGACCATTGAAATTGTATGGTGATGGAAATACTACAATTGTGTCAGCCATGTTTTGCCGAGTATAAGGGACATCTCACCTACTTATATCGTACTCATCGTTGTCTTTATCCTTGCCGTCGTTCGAGGAGGTTTTCCCCAATTTGAGTTTCTTCGAGCCTATTGTGGACAATGTTAGGGCATCATTCGCCGAAGATTTGAGCTGACTTGCCCGACAAGGATTCTTTCTCGGCCTCCCGCTTTCGTGATTGCGATTGTTTGATCGGCGGACGAGCGTCGGTGAAGGCATGCATCGGTGCTTGTCCCGTGGACGGCTTGCCCGTTCCTGACGCCAAAGGAGTTTGAGGGATTGCATTGTTGTCCGATGGGAAATGCTGCATTAATGCCACGAAGGTATTGCGACCACGGGACGATTGACGATTGTGGAGCACTTGCTCTTGAATTGCTTCAACGGTGTCGTCCTCCCCAGAGGGGAAAATGAACCTGTTCGCATCCGTGAACTCTGGAAACCCGGCGTCGCCAGGCGTTTGCCAGAGCAAAATGCTCAACAAGATCTTCATGAACTTCCGGATATCGTGGGGGTTTCCATCCTTCGTTGTCAACCTCAACTCCTTGCTCGTGGTGAGGCCGCCGCGGTGGAAGATGAGGACGCGGAGAGTTTCGGCAGCGTGATTGATCGCGATGGTCACGGTGAATGTACGCAACGGTGTGTCGTTAAATTGGGCACGTCCATAAGTACAGCTCTGGAACAGCATGTCCTTCCAGTCAGCTTTCACTTCCACCGCCACGGCGATCCTCCGAGGGTTCCGTTTGCTTTGTTCGGGCGGTTTGCTCCAGCAGGCAACGAAGTCACTGGGTGGTGTGTCTTCAACGGCCAATCCGACGATGTCTGGCTTCAAAGGTGCAGCGTTCTTCACCTTGTCCCCGGTCTGCCTATCGTACTTTACGAACAGGAGACCAGGCCAAAACGCTTTACCAAACGGCTGCAACTTGAATGCCTGGCGATCCCCAGTAGCCCCATACATCGCAAAAATCGACTCGTATGCGTCACGGCAACGCTCAACACACTTGGTGAGAAAGCAGCTGATATTACCGTAGTTTTCTGTTTCCCTTTTACGAAATGGGTCGGGATATGGCACAGTTTCGAACACCTTCTGCATGACAGAGACGACGTGGGAGTGATCGACGAGGACGTCGAAGAAATCAAGCTCCAGCAAATCTTTATCCTTGTGTTCCTGTTTGAGAATCTTAGGAGACAGCATGCGGGCGACATCATCTGCATCGAACTCCCATGCATGGCCAGCAAGCTCCTCTTCAACGCGCTTCTTCAGATCACGTTGAAAGACTTCTTCTGGACCTGTCGCTGTCGTTTCGGAGCTGGGATAGCTCTTCTTCTGTGGACTGGAATGGGTCGCCGACATGACGCGCAGCAGCAGAAGCAAGATAACAAATTACACGATGTTGGGGGCGGAATGTTAATGAAGATGGGACGAAAGTTACGGTTAGACGCGTCGAACCCCGCGTGACAGCGCCTTCACAATGCATCTCGAGGCGACATCTGTTGAAACAGATCACCTGACATTTCAAACTCCGCGGACGCCTCTGTGACGCGTTGTCAGACGTTTCTGGGCCGTCGCCGAAGACTCAGGGTTTTTGCCACAGTGCCTGTGGCTTGATCCTAGATATTAAGGTGGCGGATCGGCTCTCGCCAGAAATTTTATCGCTTCATAGCGCCTTTTAGGCGTTTTTGGCCTCTAGTTTGGATTTTACTCGTCCTTCATATCCCTCAGATCATTGCTGTGATGCACCCAGGTGTTCCTCGCAAATATGTATTGACATAACCTTGAAGGGATCCTGGATATGAAAAGGGGACAAGGGGGTGTTGTCCGGGTAACGACAAATGGTACTGTAGGAAAGATGGGAGGGGAGGGATCTCTTCCCGTTAAAGAGAGGCTGGTCACCTGCCTAGGGGAGGAAGGGGTCGGTCCGATCTGTGAGATCTGGTGGGCGGGCGGGGAGTGAGGGGGGTCATCATGTTGATCTATGGTCCTGTCTACCTGATGATTATGTATCGGCGCTTGTAGTTCACTGTGATACAAAATATATATCATTTGTGAATTATACATATGTAACCGAAACTCAAATCTGGTCCCCGTCCTCAGCCTTGTGTTGGAGGATGGACCGAGGGAGCGTGTTGGCGATCGAAGGCTACACCAAAGTGTCCAGTTGTCTCGCACCCAGCATCCAAGTTGCGGAACTTTCCACCAGATCATCGCTATCGCCAAGGCTCTTTCCACACCTTACTGTGAGCCATCGTGCATGTTCTTTCCCCGCTTCTTTCGGTCGCCATTGAGCACGCTACGTTAATTCGTGCCCAGTGCCGGTTAGCTTTCGTAACACGTTTCATTCCATTGCACCACGGAATCGCTTCATATCCACGAAAACAGGATGGGAAGGGGTATACTCGAGAGGGGGATTGAGAAATATGAAAAGGCAAGAAAGAGGCATGTCAACAAATAATTCTGATTCATCGACCATAACATAAAGTCGAATTAACATTGAAAATATGGGGGGAAACTTCTCCCTGGATCGGATACCTGAATCCTAGCAGTTCGAAATCGTCCTGTTATAAAGCAAGCCAACGAAGTACGTAAGGGGCATGCATCAAATGGAATCAAACACAGGGCAACTCACGACGCAGGATACCACCAAAATGCGACGGCCTAAACATAGTCCAACGATCAATGAAGTCTTACGCCAAGACGAAGAAATTACGCACCAATATGACATATAAACTTAATAATATCATGCCTTCCAACCAATTGCTCTTACCGTCACTTATGCAGAATGCAACGGTCAGAACAGCCAGGAAAAGAACGATGCTCTCAAAAGGATCAAAGAGGAGCGTGAGAGGTTTCCCAATGATCCACCCGAGAATAACCAGGAATCTAAGAAATATCGGCAGGGTAACTTAGTACGCATGCCAACCGTGCCTCCCACCGAGGGTGGAAAAAAAACGATTCGACGCACGGAATAACGAAAAGTGCAATTTGGATCGAGGATCCAACGGCCACACCAATCGAAAGGTCCAACTTATCCTTCACAGAGACGGTCACGGCAGTAACGTGTTCCGCAGCATTTCCCACAATGGGCAGAAGGATGAGACCAACCCATTCCTCGGAGATGTTGCCCGATTGCGTGAGCCCATCGATGGAGCTAACGAGGAACTCAGCAGTGACGGCCACGAGCTGCAAAAGAGACGTTGCACTCAGAACGAAGCAAGATAAAGAGGTATGACAGGATGCAAAAACGCACGAGAGTCACTATAACCAAAAGTCCAAACGTAACCACCAGAGTCAACTGTGGGGTCTCCTCATCCACAACCGAAGTTCCTGCGCCCTTTTCTGCATCTGCGTTCCCGTCCTGTACAGGAGCGCTAGTACCTTCCATTTTATTTGTTTGCTCCCCTTGTTCCTCTGTAGAGTGCGAACCATTACTCTTCTTCCTTCCCAGATGCTTCACTTTATTCTTCGCCGCCTCAAATCGGGCTCGGCGCTTGCCATCACTGGGAGGATACTGTTTCGAAGGGGAAGGAGCATTGTTCACGTCCTTCTCATTGAAGAGGTGCGCGTGCGACCAGAGTTGAAAAATCAAGTATGAGATGTAACTACAAGATAACAATTAGCTGAACTTCACGACTGAATGGCTGAGGAAAGAGTGGGCTGCTCACATAGCGAGAAGGATAAGGGCAACCCCATGGCTCATACGAAGCACATCAACTTGTTGATCATGATCTTGGAGGTTCTGGGTAGTAGCCACCTTAAATGCGGCTGTTCACCCATCAACCATCCAAAAGAACAAGGACAACACAGGGTATCAGCATCATCATTCAAGCCGACGGAAAAAACAACGCACCGGGAATAAGAATGGCCGTGACACTTAAAACCAACAGTGAAACACTGAGCTGCGCCGTAGTCTGCATAAATCCCTGTTCGGCAAAGCGCGTACCGCCCGCGAAGAAGCACATGCCGAGAACCAGAAGCAGGTTTGACAGGATCGAGCCTACCACTGTATTGGCGGTCATGGGAACGCCACAGCATCCCGAATGATCAGTTCACGTCGGGAAAAAAGAAAAGGGAACCAATTGGGAGAGCAAACATACAGGAACTTTGGACAACACGTAGTTTGCATTGCCTATAGGATGGTGAGATGGCATCTACGAAATGAACAGGGAGGATTGAAAAACTCACGTAAGAGCTATTATCTATGAAACAATACGTTGAATATGAGAATCATCATCGGATCCAAAGGACAAGCCATGAGTTCGCCCCATGTCAGAAAACTTACTCCAACAATCAACTCCACAACATTGCCCACTGCAATCAGTCATCGTCAAGCCAACGCATCTCAGAAACCAAAACACACTGCTTACGCGTGGCATTCAACAGACCGCCAAGAGTTTGCCCAACGCGCATGGAAAGCTCCTCCGTCCCCCAAGCCAGGAGCTTAGCAAGAGGTATTATGGCCAGGAAAGCAGCTGATTGCCCAGGTATTTCGCAGATTGGGACCAGGATTAACCATAAAAGAGAGGGAAAAGCCGATTACGAAAGTGGTGTTGAAAAAGCGAGGTCAGAAACACCAAAATCCATGGATGGAATGAGTGACGCATAAGTATCCGAACGCGCGGCAGTGACAACCAACAACCAATTTAAGAACGGTGATTTGGAAACCGGAAGCAGCGAGATAACGCGGATCCCAAAAATAGTCAATGAAATGTGGCGGTAAGATAAGGCTTATTAGATCATGTTGGTAACAATAGAGGTTGCGCCCGTGCAGAGGCGAGACGTACTAACGAAGATGACTGTGTCATTGGATGACTTTCCACGGTCCAGAGCGAAATGCAGGGCCCACTGGGATAAACCAATATCAGTCAGGTGATAAAATTGCCAGGTGGAGCCGTGAAGTCAGAATGACACGCACAGAAATAGGAATGAAGATGAGAAGAGGGTTAAGCCCTACGTCATAAAATGATCATGCGTTAGTATAGCCCAACTGGTGACGGATATCCAAAAATGAGAGATGGCCGCCGCCGCGAATCGGGATCAAAAAGAAAAAGGAAAGAAAAAGGAATTGAACTAAAGCGAGCGGCGAGCTCACATGAAGCAAAGACGATTGCTTTCAAACTGTCCATTGTGGCAGGCTCCTTCCCAAGCTGCTTCTCTGGCACAAAGAGTGAGCTCATTGTGGACTTCCACGAAGTGACGCGCTGGTGATCCCCCGCACTGGTGGGAGCATCTCCCGCATCTTGGTCATGAATGAGATTTGTACGCCTCCTTAGATTGTTGGAGGGGCTGTCTGGTTCGGTCCTAGTGTTTTCAACGACGTTCGTTGGGGAAACCGTACGAAGGATGGATTCTTTTGATAATTCGGTATCACCATTGCTGCTACGAGGTTCGGAGGCAGGGGGATTGCTGGCCAGACCTGTGGCTTCCCTTGCAAGTAACTCTGTGGGACGTTGGAAGATCATACTTTAGCGCCATCAAACCTATGATCGTTGTAGTTGCCGACCAACCTGATGTATCAGTCGACATGATAAGGGATTACAGGGAGTTGAGGGAGTTGAGGGACAACGCCTGTGAAAGGAGAGTGGGAGTGAAAAGAGTGACCGTGGTTGTGTTGGATCTCCTTTATAAGCAAGGGCCTTGAGGAGGCTGAATTGATAATGATATTGAATTTGATGCCAAGCCAAACGCTGGTTGTGACCCAAACTTGTTGCACCAACATTGTCAATAACCCCTAGTGTAACATCACATTCATAAATTGCCCCAGGAGACGCGCAAATAATGCCTCACAAGATCGAACAATCACAGCCAACTTCCAAATGGCACACCGCGTCCGAGCCGCTGCTGTGTTAAACAAGCTGCGGCCCTGCGGGTATATATCGGTGAGGCTGCCGCTTTCACCGCCACGATAGCACAACCACTGTGCGTTTACTGAGTCATTTTTTTATCTCCTAGCCACACAGTTGGCATTAATCGCGCGTGGGCGTCGAAGCGTATTGACGCCGATAACGACCAATACATACAGCTATGTAATTGAATTGCGGAACCCGCAAGCAATACTGAAGCCGCGTTGGAAATTCACACCGTGATTGGATCGTCGGCGCACAATTAGCTCTACTAGTATGATATGCCCTCGGAGTCTCATGTCCCTTGACTTAGACGCTCAGCCCAACGCTCCCGCAACCTGTTCATGTGGCAACCCGACGTTGCGAGTGGCGGAGAGGCTAGCGGACTGGCCACAGATTGTCAAGTTAGTTGGACACACGCAAAGCCCAGAAACCCCACGTTGTGGACTTCCTTCTGTTCAGCAAAGCGCCGCATGTGGCGCGCCGACACCATATACACATGTATATAAGGGT